ATATAGTTGGGATGAGATATATGACTTGTATAGACCAAATACAACGGAAAAAAAAATCAAAACAAAAAAAATCGCTGCTGTTACGTTTCCGAAACGAGCTGCGTCGTTATTGGTAAAATGAATAAATAAAAAAAAGATAATAATAACGGAAGAGATAAATAAATACGTAAAAATCCAGTATGTATGAGGAATAAGAGAAAATAAATGAAATATCCAATAGACTCATCCATCTACATCGGTTATACTTGGAATCTTTCCCGGACTGACGTCACCCATAACATGATATTATAATATTATAATATTTTTGATTTTGTATAGTATAATAATATGTAACCTCCTCGTACCATTCAAATTTCGTTTAGGCCGTTGAAAAATTATAAGATTTTTATTACTAGACGAAATATTACGTTTGTGCCATCAAAATGGACGTATAATAATAATAATAATAGTAATATTAATACGTGTTCAAAACTTTAATGTGCCTATAATATTCTTCGTGCTGAAGTATGGACGATATTATAGGTACATTTGTTCATTATATTATAGTATAATAATATACGACGCACGCGTTATATTACGCCTATATAAAACAATATATACTAATATCGGTTAAGGGTTAACATAAATGAATAATAATAATAATAATAATAACGACGATGATAATATTATCCTACGCACAGCACAGGTGCAGAACACTAAAAACAAGATCTTCTAATCCTCCGGAGGTCTTTCCCGGCAAGTGCAGCTATAGTATTATATCATATAGTACCTATATTATACCTATAGGAGTTTATCGTGTCGCGGTCGTAATAATAACAATATTAAAATAATGTATGACCGTCTAATATTATTATCGTTTCGTACGTTATGGTTGGCATATGACATAATCGAAAAAAAATTTAATGATGAATAATTTACCGTTATGACATTGGGCTGGAGTAATACCGCACCGAGGTCTGGTCCCGATAATGGCGACCCCTACAAAATGTTAAAAATAAAACAAAAACAAAACGTACACACAAACAAACAAAAAAATTGAAAATTTGATCATTGTATTGAAACGTTTCAAACAAATACATGGACAAATAAATTAATAACATATTCTAAAAACAACAACAAATTTCAACTCAACTCAACGAAGGTACGATACGATATAATACGGTAACGTTTATATGTATATAATATACGAGTACGCACGTCTTCTACGCTAATGAGGAAATCTAATTTGGATTTTATATTCGAAAGCTCAGGCAAAAAACTAAAATATATATATTATATTAACTACGATAAGTAGCTCGGCCAAATATAATAATATTGTAATATATTTGAAAATATATTATTTACGTGTATGTGTATATATAAATATATATATATCTATTTATAGAGAGAGAGAGAGAGAGAGAGAGAGAGAGAGATATGGATATAGAGGGTCTTATATGATATACAAAACGAAAATAATGCAAATCGGTACGGTATACTTTGCGGTCGTTGGTTTCAGACGACGCCGTCAATCGAAACAAATTGTTTTTAAGCACCAGGATTGGGAGTAAAAAAAAAAAATAAAATAATGAATTATGCAAAACCTTCTTTGAATGGATGAGCCTTTGGAATGTATTACGGTAGAGAGAAAGAAAAAAATTAAAATAATAATAACGAAAAAAAATATAATAAAATTAAAGAAATATAATCAATTTTAAAGAACGTATATCTGGTCGATATAAATCAAAAATGTACTCCTACATAAATTAAAACATTTGTGATTTGTATATTATCAATAATTTATTTAAATTTATTTGATAGAATAATCATTGTATGTAACATAATAGATTTTTATTATGAGACATTAAATTGCCCATATTATACATTGTTATAAAACAATAATTATCATTATTTTATAGTATTACAATACAGTAATAATTAACTTTTAAAATTACAAACATAAAGTATAGGATAATTATATTTAACAACGAGAATCCCATATAGTATAATTGGGTCATCATCATTCGTTTATAATATAATATAAACATTTACATAATATTGCTGAATATTGTGTTTTAAATAAGTTTCTTAAATCTAAATAATATTATTTCCTAATATTTAACATTAAAAACACCTAGCCGTTTAATTTTACTGGGAACCTTCTCTGACAGAATGAAGAAAAAAAAATTAGACTAGTCGGACCCTCGGGCCAAAGAACAGTGTAACAATTTCATTAAACATAATATATAACACAATATGCTATATTATATTAATAATTGTTTTCGTATATTTTTTTTTAGTTATTGTTTTACTATATATATATTTATATATATGTATTAAAATTATTTTGCCGTAATGAAACACATTGGACCATGCTACTGTGAACTATCGGACTGACATTATTAATTAATTGACTAACCCGTTTCATAGCAATATACATAATAACATTTTTTTTGTGTACACGAAATGGTTGTACGGACACACACTAGAATATTAGTAGTATACATTGATTGCAACGATCGTAACAAACAAAAAAAAACTTATAAAAAAAAACTTATATAGTTGACGCGGCACTATCAAAAGTGTGTAATATTATTACTATATCGAAGCGATGACAAACGTTAACGGGTAAAAATTCGACGCGGTAACAACAAAATATTAATGACAAAATTGTAGACAAAAAGAATGGTTCTTAAAAAAAAAAATATATCCAAAACGAAACAAAATCAAAAGATTATTACTATATGAATTATAATAATATTATAATACACGCAAATAATGTACAACGGTATATAGCGATTTATCACAGAATTTTTGATTAATTATTTTAGTCGTGACATTTATAGGTTATAAACCGATATATAATATAATATGTATATTTATATTATAATAGGCAAATGGCCGTGAACTTTATTTTGTAACACATTTGAAGAAACAAAAAAAAAGGTACATCGTCGGAGAGTAGAAAAAAAAATTATAATAACAGATTAAAAAAAAAAAAACAAACAATTATGTGTTAAAAACAAAAAAAAATAAAACGAAGCAAACAATATTATGACAATAAATAGAAACCATCGTGGCGATGAACATATATCGTTTTCAATTATATTCGTTTCAATAACAGTGTTTTTTTGTTTTTTATTTTTGCAAATTTACACTTGTCCCTAATAATAATATTATATTATATAATATTTACTACTATATATATTCGTTTTGCTAAGCCTAAGTTTGTTCGTTAAACATACAATATAATATATTATAATAATTTTATTAACCTAATAAACATCGTAATTAAAAATGTCTAAAGCTATAAGTCGATGATAATAATTATTAATATTATAATGTATATTATAGTCGTGAATCGAGAAACGTACGTTTAATTAATATCGTATATTATATTATTATTATATTTTATATATTATTATACGTAAACCTAAACTAACGCGCAAGTTTGAATAATAATAATATTTAATTTACTACCGGAATTATATATATTATATTATTATTCTAACCGGTCACTATATAATATGTATATTATGTTATATTATAAAAAAACGACTAGAATTTATTTAACTCGCGTGAAAAAAAAACGTTCGACTTGAATGCCTTGAAGAAAATCATCCTCTCTACTATGAATATACTATGTAATATCGACTCGTCGTCATCGTCGTCGTTGTCGTCGTCGTCGTCGTCATGAGTAACACATTATAATATAAAATTATGGACAGTTTAAGAACGACGACGACTTAGTCACGTAATATCGACGAGATAAAAATATATGCAATAAAGGTAATATTATATAATATATCGTCTCGGGCGTGAAACGGTTTCGAAGTTTTGTTTTGTTTTTTTTTTGTTTTTTGTAAATTGATTAATATAATAATAATTATATAATGTATAATATATAATAACGTCCCATACGTATACCTAATGATCGATGAAATGTTAAATAAATGAACCCACCCCCCTGGAACATTCAAAAAAAAAAAAACGAAAAAAAATCAACAACAGACCGAAAGCGAGACGTATTATGGACGACTCAAAATATGTAAATGTATATAATATAATATACATAAACATACTGTATATAATGTTAGCGGTAGCCGATTTAAAACGCATAATAAAATAAATTATTGTTATTACAATAAAAATAAATAATAAGTAAGCGCATAGACACATGATAGTATATAGTAATATTTAAGTGATACATTTTATGTATGTATTTTTTTTTTTACGTTTATATAGCAAAATTTTTTTATAAGAGAGCAATATTCCGGCCGAGCGTCTGGGCCGAACGTTCGCAAACCACGTCTCGCACATTTGATAATAAGACAATATCATCATTGTTACGGATAAGAAAACTTACGAGTGAGTGAGTGAGTGAGTATTATAATAAAATATGAGTATAAATAAAACGAGAAAATAAGAAACTCAGACGACGAGCAATACACACGACAGCGGACGACGATATGGGGGCGGAGAAACAAACAATAAACACAAACACACGCACACGCACACACAAACACTGAAAAATATTATAATATAAACAAACACACACGTGGATATTGTACGTAGGTAATAGTTATATTAAAGATCGTAGAGGGATGCGATATCACTCCGTGGGGTTGGGTGTGGGGAGGTCATCGGTGTTGGCGTCCGGCGAACAGTGCAAAGAGTATTATAATAATATAATATATTATTATGTTTGAAATATTTTATGCGCAAATCTCAACGATGGAAACCGACGGAGAGGATGGCACTTTCGGTTTTGCGAATTCGACCCGGAGCACTGGTGTCGTCATTAATAATAATAATAATAATAATAATAATAATAATAATAATAATATAATATAATAATAAGAATAATAATAATAATAATAATAATAATAATAGTAATAATAATAATAATTATGTTCACAGAGGCATGGCATGCATATAGAAAGGATGGGTGTTGTGATGGTTGTGGTGATGGTCAAGCAGTGCGGGAAAAGGGAGCACAGTGACCTGTGCGTGGTTATTACCTGCTGGATACGAGAGTCCGAAACTAGGGTAACCCGAAAAACCTCGGCTAGAGGCGTAAGCCGCGTACGCAGCCGCCGGAAAACCTGAAACACAAACACACATACGTGATTAGTATATTATATACACGGGAAAATTGTTCAAAGTAAAACGATGACGATAACAATAACCGTAAAAATAACAATGATGATAATAATAATAATATAAACGCGCGTTGAAAACGGAAATGAGCGTATACGCGCCACTACGTATAAGCCATAAGGTACCTATATCGTATGGGAACGAAAGCTTATATATAGGGTATATCATGATTATATATATTATATCGTTGCACGCCCGGAAGTTACGACGAAACGGCCAGACGTTTATACCGTAGACAGTCGGCATATTATATACAAATAATATAACATATTGTATACAGGGTGGTTGTCGCGATATGTGAAGCAGAAAGACGAAAACGCCACTACGGAATTCTTGAGCTATCGTGCAAATATTTATTTTATTTTACTACAATAATATTATGCTAAGCCCACGACGACGGTGTTTGAGTTAAGAGAAGTCATGGAAAACGCTAAACAGAATATTGTTGTTGGTTTCTAATATACGGCCAATTTCGAACTGATGTTTTCTTTTCTCCGATTTTTGTTACTATGAAATTTATAAAAAAAAAATCGGTTTGGTCATTAATGTAATAAAATATTTAATATCGACTAAGCTATACTCCATAATTTATGTGATATAACATTAAAAGACATTAATATTATTATTTAACTAAATATGTACGCCTACATAATGAATGTACTAAATATTATGCTCACGACTCACGAGCCCCTGCAGGACTTATGCGATAAAAAAAACTTTAAAATATTATTTTAAGTGCACATTGTACTTAATTCTGTGGGCCTGATGTTAATAGCTGCAACGTGTAATCGATTATAGAAGCCCCTGAGGTAATGGTAGCATTTTTATAGGAAATCGAGTATGGGGGAGTGAAATGCTTGAATGAAAACATGTAGAGGGATGACATTTCACCCAACCTATTCCCACTCCTTTTGTATACATTATAGAAGTCCACGAGCAATACACGTCATTCAAGTTCCCACTGCAGTCTGTTGACCGAACGTTCAATACTTTTCTTTAAATAATACGATTTCATATATTTCGTAAAAGTGAAACTTGAGATTTGGTGAAAAAATAATTTAAAAAAAATAGTATTCGTTACGTGAAGCATTTCGTACTGAAAGCGTTATGAATTAAGCTTACGGGAGGTGTCAGGATACAGTCGTTAAAAGACAATAACACGGTTTACAGTATCAGTGCGATTTATTAAACTTAAATACAAACGTCGCCGGAGCGAAAAACGCGTGACTACGGATAACGGCAGTTCGTCCGCGGACACACGCGTCGTGTCCGGCGGTAACGGCGAAACAGAGCGAGGGTATGGCCGAGTCGGGTCAAGCCGCCCGGAGCGACCGTCTCGTGGCCCAGTGTTGCCACCGGAGGAGCTAACAATCGGCCGTCCTGGCCGCTGGACCGTCCTCGGGCCAGGTCCCCATTAACATGTGTAATTTTCATTTATATACATAAAAAAAATTGAAATATTATCACATAGGGTGAATTTAATAATCACCAAAAACGAATATAAAATAATAATACATAGGGTGAATTTAATAATCACCAAAAACGAATATAAAATAATAATACATAGGGTGAATTTAATAATCACCAAAAACGAATATTAAATAATAATACATAGGGTGAATTTAATAATCACCAAAAACGAATATTAAATAATAATACATAGGGTGAATTTAATAATCACCAAAAACGAATATAAAATAAAGTATGGGTGGTTATGCATAGTCGTCGAGATACCTCGGTTGTCGATGAGTTCTAGCGCTACGCCTTGGCTTGGTAACTGGTAAGGTCGACGTGGATTGCTCGGCCCTTCCTTCCCCGTTATTGGCTTCCCGAATCACGTCATCCTCGTCTCCATCGTCGTCGTCTTCCTTCAGGACTTTCCAAGATTTTAATTGTGAGACATGTGCTGTAGTCGCGTAAGTCTCGTGTCCATCCATGGCGATTTCAGCGACGCGGTAGGTGTCACTCGGCAGTACTTCTACCACTTGCAGCGGTTTCACACGATATTTTGATTGTAGTTTTGTTGATAGATGTGGAACTGGCTGTTTCAACATCACCACAATTTCACCCACTTCATATTTTATGCCTTCGTATCTCTTCCGGTCGTGAGCAATTTTCATTTTTACCTGAGCATTAGTGATGTTTTCACGTGCCTCGGCTTGAACGTCATGAGGGTCGCGCCAGTCGGTTCCAGTGAGACTAAGAGTGGGTAGAATACCCTTGAAGAAGCGAGGCAGATAACCATGTAAAGTTTCGTAAGGCGTTTTCGTCGTGGATTTGTTTGGTGCGGTGTTTAGCATGTTCTCCACTTGCCGTAATTGCATATCCCAGCTAGTATGGTCTCTTCCGGTAACACTCAACAGTGTAACTATTGTACGGTTAGCCCTTTCCACCTGGCCATTAGCCTGCGGGTGTCGTGTGGAGTTCAGGGTGTGTCGGATACCTCGTTCGTTACAAAACGTTTCAAATGCGTGTGAGGTGAAACACGTCCCGCGGTCCGAAACAATCCGATCGGGAATACCTCGTTCTGTGCAAAATCGTTCCAAGATGCGCAGAACGGCTGCAGTGTTGGTCGTCTTACACGGGAATAGTTGCGTGTATTTCGTCAGATTATCGACCAAGACAAGTAGGTACTTGTTTTTCTTCGCTGAAGTTTCGAAAGGACCTAGGTGGTCGATATGTATTACTTGGAACGGTCGTTTCCCCGGGGGTATCGGATGTAGATAGCCGGGCTTCGATCCGGCTGGTTTCTTGTTAACGAGACAGTCTACGCACATTGCAATGTGCTGCTTGACATACCTTTTTAGTCCCGAGAACCAGTAATCATTGAGTATACGTGCGACGGTACGATCAACCGAAAAGTGTCCGGCATAGTCGTGCGCCGCGATCACAATTCCCTTCCGCATTGCTTTCGGTATTACTAGTAGGGGGCGACCATTGTGTATTTTGTACAATATTCCGTCGGTAACTTGGTACCCTTCTATTTCGTTGTTCGTCTCGTTGGTTTGTCCGTCTACTCCGGACAGAATTCCCACCAAACTACGGACACGTTCATCGGCGGCTTGCAGTAGTCGAACCGCTTCGAATTTTGTCATGGCGATAAATACGTCGACACGGTCGGACAGTTCATCTTCCACTGATCTGACGGTGCCCTCCTCGTCGTATGGCGCTCGGCTTAGCGCGTCAACGTGGGGCATGCGCGTGCCCGGTCGATACTTTATTTCGAAATCAAATTCTTGAAAGATTTCATACCAACGGGCGATTTGAGGTTTAGTGGTCTTATGTATGTTTAAATACACGAGTGCCTGGCAATCGGTCACGACGGTAAATCGAATTCCCAATAAGTATTGGCGTAACCGATTCAAGGTCCAAATAATGGCAAAAAGTTCCAGGCGGCTGGAATGATACTTTGATTCAGCCAACGTGGTTCGTTTACTTACCGCGTAAACCATTTTTATTTGTGTCGATTTCGGCCCTTGAAACAATATTCCCGAAAGAGCCTTCGAACTCGCGTCGGTGTGTATTTCGGTGACTTCGGCGTCAGGACGGTACATAGCGACGACTGGGTCCGCACATAACGCGTTCTTTAGTTTTTCAAAAGCGACCTGTTGTTCGTCTCGCCATTCATATGGTACGTCCTTCGCGGTTAGTAGTGTCAATGGCTCGGCCACTTCCGCGTATTTTACTATGAAGCGTCGAAAATACCCAGCGAGTCCCAGGAACCTCCGAACTTCGTGGGCATCGCGTGGTCGCGGAAAATTAGAGAGCGCGTCTATTTTACGTCCCGGACGTACTTCACCTTCTGCGATTCGGAAACCTAGGTAATCCAATGTGCTCATTCCGAATGAGCACTTCGATGGTTTCAACGTAAGATTCGCTTCTACGAGTGCCCTTAACACTAGTTCTAGAACTTCGAGCATGTCGTCCGCAGATTTGGACGGTATGATAATATCGTCAAGGTAAGTATGGACCTTCCCTGCTTCGCTCAAATTCTTGAAGACGGCGGACATTAACCTCTGAAATGTCGCGGGGGCGCCTTTTAGTCCAAACGGCATCCTCTCGAATCGGGCCGTGGTGTCTTCTGTTACAAATGCCGTCTTTTCCTTTGCTTCCTCCGACAGCGGAATTTGTAAAAACCCGTTCGACAAATCTAAGGTCGTAAAGATGCGTCCGTCTGCAAGCTTACTTAATTGTGAATCGACGTCTGGCATGGGAAACGGCTGCGTGACTGTTTGCTGATTCAGCTTGCGGTAGTCGACACAGAGTCTCTTCTCACCGTCTGCCTTATTGACTAGTAACACCGGACTTGCGTAGGTGGAGGTAGAGTCAGCGACAATCCCAGCTTGCTTCCAGTCTTTGAGTATTTTTGATATTGTACGCCGATCCGTCGGCGACGTCTTATAAGGTTTCTGTCTCACAGGCGTGCAATTATCGATTTCCATAATATCCATCGTAAGAACGTTCGTACAACCCAGCTCGCCAATCGATTTCGCGAATGCGCCACGATATTCGTTAATAAGAGATAACAACGTTTTACGGCAAGTTGAATCCAATTCTGGTCCGATTTTAATGTCGTCGTCTGTGATCGGTTCGACGTGGGTTGAGTTCGCGTCACATTCGGTCATTAACACCTGCGGATAATCGCCGTGTATCTCATCTGTCAACTCTTTACCGTCGAGGTGACAATTCGTTTCAAAAATTATTTCATATCCTTGTTTGTAATAATTGACGTGCGGGAGCTCCAGCCAAGTGCGTCCCACCATAACATCCACCGGGATGAGAACGTCGTCAACTATTTTTACGTCGTGGCAATCGGCGACAACACCGTCAATTGTTACCTTCGCTACAGCCTTGCCTACGGCGCTCACGCTTGGTCGGTCAACATTGCCCACGGTGTATAGCGGACAAACTTGCGGCTCGACGATGAGTCGACACTTCGCCGCGGCTGACTGTCGTACCAATAC